CGTTACGGGTCGTTATATTAGCCATTCTAGGAGAGTATATAAAAATATTACCATCTCCTTCCAACTAAGAACACTGCGCACTCGGTTTAATGCTTTAACGTAACTGTAATTCTGACATTTGGGAAGTTTACAACATTTACACATTCTCATAAAGTCATTACTCATGTATTATCCTTTGAGCATTAAATTACGGAAGGCATTAAGTTTACATGGAGAAGCTAATAATCGCGTGAATTATCGCTAGACGACAACGCTTTCGTAGACGAGATTTAGTCTCAAGACTATCACCACTTTTACAGCTTTCTGTCGTGAAAGATGGACTAAATTTTTCAGTTTTACCGACAAAAGAAAATAAAAAAAAATTCAACGCTGTTGTTTTTCCCAAAATTTCGAAGTAAAAATTTTTGTGTTTTTAAGATAGGTATAAAAAAAAAGTTAAAAAGCGAAAGCTTGGAATGGAACTCCAAGTTTTGGTCCCATTGTCCTTTTCTTTCAAAAAATGTGGCCAGTCGAGTCGTTCTCTGGAATCAAACTGTGAATAAATGTGTGATATTTTTATGGCATAATTAACTATGTTACAAAACTATGAAACTCGTCACATTACTGAACCAAATTAACTACAAGGACATTGCAAAAGTTATTGATCATAAAATGTATTGAAAGCAGAGTATTTCAGGCACTTTTAACACCTTTGTTCAACAAAGACATCTCTTCCACATTGCGCAAAGTTATTTAATAGATATTGCGAAATAAAATTTATGGTTTTTATTGTTTGTCCAGTATAATCAAGAGTAATTACGCTGTTAAGCTATTTATTCTTATTTATATTCATACATTATGCAAAATGTCACAAGCTTCTTTCAACCTGTATATCGGAGAACGAGAGCAGCTGCCGAAGATATGATATATTACATGTAATTTGATTTCCTTGGGACTGAACAAAGTAATTATACTTTAATAGGCCACATTTACGAGATTTCAATTTTGAAAACACTCATTAGTTTATAAGGCTTGGAATTAAGAACAATTTATCATTTTGTGTGTACTTTTGAATAATCAATACTGAATTGTGGGTTCACTTTATCACAACTTGTCTATTATGCTGTTTGCATGGCGTCGTAATGAAATATTAATAAAGAGCCCCAATTAAAACCCAAGTACTTGAAATATTTAGAACATAGAACACTCTTTGTTTCTATACTAACTCACAAGTGATTATATTTTTGCAATTTGCAAACGTGTCGGCTCCAATATGTTAACAAATTTTCAATTTAAATACCGTATAAGTTGGTTTTACGTTCAAATAATATCTTTATGTATCCGGCTTTTTATTTATTATTTGAGCATAAACATTTTCAAGGTGATGAGACACATGCTATTTGTGAAAAACCGAAATAATAATATTTTTAAAATTTGACTTGTGTGTAATTATCTAGTGAGTTTATGATAAGCGTTCGAAAAACATCGTTTAATTTGTCCGTAACTGCGAATAACCTTTAGCAAATGCATTTTAATGGCACACGAAACTTGTTAAGTTGGGAATATCCATCTAACAATTTCGGTATTATTGGCCATCAACGGTTAAAATATAGTTTGTCGTTTAGGTGAGGTTAAATTTTTGTAATTTGATCCGGGGATTACCGCTGCGCTGACACAAAACTAATTTCAAATTTATAAGAGAGGATTGAATTAAATGTTAATTTCGTTGGGCTGTCAATTAATTAGGCAAGGTAGTTTTGAAGAAATTAATTACGACATATTTCATATTAATTCTGGAATTATAAACATTAAGCAGTCACACACGTTTCTTATGTTAATTCTAAATAAACAGAAGTGTGACCAGTTTAGCTCCCAAAAAACGACTTCGACGACTTAAAAGAATGCAAATGGGCAATAACCATATACCCGTCAAAACGTTATAGCGTATAAGCCCAGTGTGAAACATTCAAAAGGCTTGCTATAAATTAAATATTAAAATTGTCTCCTATATCACACAAAAATCGCTTTGAAAGTGCTAAGAATTTTTATACGCGGAGGAGCTTGCAGTTACTACAAAATATCACAACAGCAAATTGCAGGCTTTGCGAAACCTGTACAGCAGGTGAATAAGCACACATACAGCGGATATGCTTTAACTCCTTTGCGTTATTCACTTCCACTTTATCGTTAATCGATAGCGGTGCTAAGCTAAGTTCACACCGCACTCCATTTGTCATCGTTTTCGTTTTCGCACGTCGACGCAGACCTTGCGTGGTGAAGCCTGCACGAAGACGACGTACCATTTTGACTCATCATTATCTTTATTACACTCTTTTCTATGAAATACCTCTACAAAAGCTAACATTAAGTTGAGTTTCAAAAAAAAAAACACAAAGATTTGTTTTAAATTTGTAATTTAGGGGACACAGAGTCCAGAGAACAAATTATTATGTAACATATGTTTTTATTATACAGTATTTTTTCTACAACTTCTGGATTGTAGTATCAGCCATGAACTAAAACTTTCTTGGATTTTTTAATTCGCTGATATTGAATAATTTGACAGAATTGGAGGTAGTATTTTAAAAATTAATATTATGCACAAACAGATAATCGATCTTTTAATGATATTTATAAAACTGTGATTCTGAATTTAAATTGTCAACATTAATAGAACATACGTGCCAATTTTTATGTATTTTTCAGTGTTTTCAACTTCGAAAAATCTGAAATTTAATCCGAAATTTAATTTAGGGCAATTAAAAACAGTATAACAAAAAATGCCCTTAGATACTTATTGTCTTTTTTTTTGCTTTAACTATGTAATTAGCATTATTTTCTGGGTTTTAAAACCCTGAGATTTTCTGTTATTTTATTATTTATTATTATTGTTTATTATTTATAATATTTTGTTATTTCATGTTTTTTTCAGTAGCAGTATTTTAGTGAATAAGATTTTAAAATGTCAAATTTTAAATACCTGTTGTTTAGAGCCTCTAAAAGGTAGCGTATGTGATATCAAAATACATACTTAACTTCGTTTAACAACTGATATGAAATCTCAGGTTTAGGTTGGGAAGTGGTCACTTTCTTGTCAGTTGACATGTTTTTTGCAAATTCTTTATTGTTTTTCTGTTTTTTAAGGAAAATGATTGTGAATAAAATAGTATAAAAACATTATCTCGGCTTATTGCTAACATCAAATTTGCCGTGGTAATGAAGCACCATCCACCTCGGTATGTAATCTACTATTATTTACAACCACTGTTGTAATATACCGATTTACCTAACCTTATAGATATTCACGGATTGGAAAACACGTTATTGTATTTGTTGGTCGATAATATGCAGGACAGTCAACGTTAAAATTAATTTTTTTAATATTTATAGAGAATACACTGCTTCATTAGGAACTTCACTGTGGAAAATTCAATTTTTTGGCACACCTACTATTTTGTCATAAACAGATATCTTATTACAAATATTTGATGAAACATGTAATTGTGAATAAAATAGTATACAAATTTTGGTGCGAATGTCATTACCCTGGGATAGAATCGTATTTTTCACGTCTGCTGCAAACATTTTTTGTATAAAATTTAACAAATATTGTTATTGTATGTAAATATGTAGTTATATTAAATGATATTAAAATTAAAACTTTTAGGTTTACAAAATTCGTAAGGTATATGAAGATGCTTTTTAAATACTTTGCTTAATCATAATTTATTGAAATTTGGCTTTTAATTCAATTTAATTATTAATTAGTAAAAACTATTTTTAAAGTACATTATTATAAATTTTGAAAGATGGAAACCAAAATCTGAGAAAATTTGAAAACCTAGAAGACTAAAATCCCATCAAAACAGCGATCTATCTATGGCGTGTTGCAGAGTGTAAAATGATTCAGTATAATAATCGTAATCCCCTGAGGGAAAGTCGGCATGTGCTGATTAATGATTGTGAAGCAACTTAACAATATCCCGAGGACCTCGGCTAACTATTAATTAAAACAACTCGATTAGCCGCATAAAAATAATTAAATGCTCCTTAATCACTCAGTGGCTCACGGCGTACTTTTAGAAATTACGTAAAATCAAGATGTAGGGCCTTCAGCAAAATGCCAGACCTCAACTAGCTTTTTTCCAACAAAACACTGGAAAACTGTAATTTTTACACCTTTCCACATGCAACATCAATCGTAAACACGTTTTAGAGTCGACGTGAGATCGAGGCGGCTAAGGAAACCAAAATTACAGGCTGTCTACCGAGAATGAAGGTAATTTAGGAATTTTAACACCGGCTTTTCGAAACATGCATTAGCAGGTTCAAGAACGTCCAACATATGTGCAACGTTTATAATGTTAGCCACCTTACAAACATTTTGGTTACCAAATTATAGACAACGGACTAATAGCCGTTTTCAACACACGAGAAAAATAAAACGGAAATTTCGTAAAGGCGAGATGATTTTTACCTGTGTAAAAGGTGTTGTGGTTTTATGGTGTGCCACCACTCCTACAGAGCCATTAATTAATCCAAGTAGTGATTAAAGGAGCTATAGTACGTTTCCCTGTTGCACGAGGCGTAAAAAAGTAAATAATTCCTGTAATTTATAGCATTCTTTTTCCTTAATATAATCTAATGAAACAGCACAATCATAATCACACCAGATAACTCGAATAACTAGCAAACTGGACGATTTATGGGGCAAAATAACACCTACCTTTACACATGTAACAATGACATTTAATATTTTTGCTTAGGAGATTAGCATATTTAAGTACTTTTTCATTTAGGCGCTTTTTTAATTATAATTTCAAAATTAATTTAAAGTTAACATCGCTTTATTTTAGTGGAGCATGTGTAATTAGAAGAGACCGGAAGTGGGTAAGAGGCATCAGGCGCCTGTAATGGGAAAAACTCGTACGATTAGCAATCTCTACACGTTGTTATTAAAAACTTGCTTGGTCATCTTCACTTATGCATTTTTGCCGCTTCATGATTGTTTGTTCTTTCAGACGAATGTTCCCGACTTTGAGGGTTTCCTTCACCGGAATTCGCCCGGACCAGCGATACGCCGTACTTCTGGACATTGTTCCGGTTGATAACAAACGTTATCGGTACGCTTATCACCGGTCCTCGTGGTTGGTGGCTGGCAAGGCTGATCCTCCGGCTCCGTGCAGAATATACGCACATCCGGATTCGCCATTCTCCGGGGAACAACTACGAAAACAAGTCGTCTCGTTCGAGAAGGTTAAACTCACCAACAACGAAATGGATAAAAACGGACAGGTTTGTGGTTTTTTTGCTCATTGTATTGTAATTGCAACGGGCATTAATAACACACTACGATATTGAGAACAACTATTATTAACTAATTAACATACAGCTTAGAACTTGCTTGCGTGTTTATGATTTTAATTCAAATTATGAATTTTAATATGTTATTAAATTATGTACTACTGGAATATACATGGACGTGCATACGAAAGCAGAATTTTTGCATTGTCATGTCAGACGCCAAGCACTTAATTTTATTTTACATTTTTTTAATTAATTGACGGGATTGAAAAGTTGTTGAGTCTAAAATTGTTAATACTTATAAATAAATGCAGGTAGTAAATGCCACTAGATACACATGTTGAAATTCATTAGAACGAAAGATGAATAATTACATATAATGTATTTGTTATAAAATATGAATACGACTTGCTTTTAAGTATCAAAGGAAATATAACTTTTACTTTTGATGTTTTTTATTCTAATTGTTTATTGTTTCATATTTTCCTTTTTATTTACGTACTGTTGCTTGTCTAAATTGAGGATACAGCTGATCATAAAAGTAAAAAAAATATTAATATTTGTAGCAATAATGTAATGGAAAATAAACTGAGGAAATGTGATTTTTATGTAATAAACTAAAGTAAAAGTAGGTTTTTTTAAACAGTACGAATGTGTTAAATCATAAAAATTTTACGGAAAGAAAAGTGTATTTTATTAATTGTGATTTTAATTGTTGTAATTAAAATTAATTGTTGTTTTATTGTTGTAATTTTAATTTAATTAATTGTGATTTTAATTGATTTTGAGAGTTGATAGCAGTAGAAGTCTAAAGTTGAGGTATTTTAACCTCAAAAGGTCTTATCCGAATGTCTATAGTTTCTGAGATCTAGAGGGTGCAACATCTATTTAAGCGCACAAAAATTCGTCAAACAAATTCAATACAAAGAAAATCTGCATCTTTTCAGAATTAATTTAAAACATTTTGTTTGTATTTTATAGTGCTGTATAATTTGGCCGACCAAACCGGCCATAAAATTTAACCATAGGTTAATTAGTTCATCAGCCAACTAGTTAATTGGTTAATTGGTTAAACAGTTAATTTACATTTTTCCATATATAAAGTAGAAATTATTATTAAATTATATATTTTTAACATATTTACATTAATATAATATTTATTTATTTATATACAGGGTGATTCTTAAATAGACTAACAAAATTTTATCCTTGGTAGTATCAAATGAGAACATGCTGGAAAAAATATTTAAAAAATTCTTTGTTTAACCGTTCTCCAAATAAAATTTATTTAAGTGATTTTCGAAGTAAAGCGTACGCCACTGACGTGTTCGTAAATAGTATTAGCACAGGTAGTGGAAACCATGGTATTAATTTGATAAAAATGTACTTGATTATTGCAACAATTCATAAACGCCGTAAGTGGCACGGATCAAGGGGGTTTTGTCCCTAAAAGATATAAACCTAAAAATCGTACAGTTTACCTCCATTTATCGTTGGGAAGCTGTGATAAAATTTTGTCGGTCTATTTAAGAATCACCCTGTATAATAACTATAATATATATTACATAATTATTTTATATTAAAACAACAACTTAATAAATATTATATTAACGTAATATGTTATAAATATGTATATGATTTGACAATAATTTCTACTTTATATACTCGTATAGGAAAATATGAATTTACTGTTTAACCTATTAACCATTTAACTGGTTAATCAGTTAACCGTTTAACTAATTTAAACGATTAACTAGTTAATTGATTTAACCGGTTAATTTGTATTAACTAGTTGGCTTGAACTAATTAACCTAGTTAAAGTGTACAGCACTAGTATTTTGTTTATTGTTTTGACACCTTATTAAAGAATCAAAAATAATCTAAAAAAACACAAAATGGGGTTTTCGTTAACTTTTTGAAACTTTTGCGCACATTTTTGGGCTAAAATCTAAGTTTTTTGCTTAAACAAACCAAAAGTCACTAAATTAAGTTCAATATTATAATATTTTTGCCTTTTTCGAGCTTTTCAGTACGTTTTTAGCCAAAAAACCGCAAAGTTTAATAGAAAATATGGTGTTACACTTTTGCTTATTTCAAACTTTCAAGCACGTTTTTGAACTAAAATCTCCGGCTTTTTGCGAGATTTTGCTAAAACAAACCGAACATTAAGTCGAAAGCGTTTTATTACGTTTCTCAGTGATTACTTCGCAAAATTTTGTTAAAAACAAGCCTAAAAATAACAAAATTAGACCGAAATTGGTGATACTTTAGAAAAAAACTTTGTTTGATCACAAGATCTTGCTATACCAGGTTGAAAAAATTAATAAATGTTTGATACTAATAAAAGTTATCTTATATTTTTTCCTAATTGTAAAACCTTAACCAGTTTATTAAAAAAAAAAACGTAAATCATAATAACTTTTTAATTTGTTGATAATCATAAGTGTAAGTAATTTTTTTCAGCTCAGCTCAGGTACTATTCTCGTATCGGTTTAAATGGTATCCTAAATGATTAGTTTTATTGCGAAATTTCGCCAGCTGTATTCTTGATCAATCAAAAAACTTAGTGCACTAATTATTTATATTGAAACATTTAGGGTGAGTAATAGATAGGCTAAATGAGATTTAGTTTGACAATTGCGTTTGATTGTTGTTTAATTCCGAATTTACTTGCAAGAGTTAAAATGGAAGAATTTGAGGAAATTGACAATCTGGCAATAATTAGAATGCTTGAAGAAGATGAAATAACTGCGTTAGCATCACATAAGATATTTCACGTGTGATAACCCCTTTGAAATTTTATCAAATGCCAAGTTCCTAAAAACTTATTGCCAAACAAAAAAAATGGTTCATGAATTAATCGAGAAAATAAAACTTTTTCTTATAGATCCTTCCTGGGTTAACGCTTTGAATATTTCTCCAAAACTAGATATCAATTCAAATTACTTTAACAAAAATCAGTTTTAAAAGTGTAAATTCTAACGAATTTTTTTGAGCTGACAACACTTGCTGCCCTGCTATTTTTTTTCATTCTTGAGGAAACAAACTTTTGAAACATGCTAAAAAGCTATAAATTCGTCGAATAATAAATGGTTTATTAAATGTTGAAGACACGAGCCAACGCCCCATTTATTTAATTTTGATTTTTTTATTTTAACTTTATCGAAAAGTTAAATCAACAAGAAGTTTTTGAGAGGAACCAAAAAATTGCCAAACTTCCATAAATTTTAAGTAAACAAAGCTGTTCGTAGATAAGCAAAGGGTTGTTAAAGGAAAAGGAATGGGAAATATTTTATGCTCTCATGGGACTGGCCCGTTGAAGTGTCGTGTTTTGACGATTGTGACACCGCATCGGTGTAAAGTCATCCCTTTGTTAATAGGATTAAAAATTGTTGTGTATTTTACACGTTTATTCACAAGCTATTTATTTATCCAAGAATTGTGTGGATGAATAAGTGGTTTTTGTTGGTAGCAAACAGCTTTTGTCAGGTGTATAAGATGTGTACGACCCACGGATTATATACCATTGAATAGAAGAACAGGTGAGGCAGAGTCGTAAATATCGTATTTTATACAGCCTGTGGCAATATAACTATAAAAATAATAATTATGGCCAATAAAATTAGCCTTTCATCATCGTTTTAAAACTTGTTAAGTCTCGCAGTTTCGGTGTAAACAGTAAAAGATGTCTTTTGTGCGACAAAATTCATTTGAAAAATGACGAATTTGTTTATACGACTTAGACAATGTTGAAATTATGCGAGATAAGGTGGTCGCATAAAAGAACACCTTGTTACCTTAATGAAATACACAAGAGCACATGTTTAGTACTAATTTGTGACTTTGTTCAGTATGTCAGATCAGGAATGCGATTAAGACTCCGACATCGCTTACTTGTAACTCCATAAATTATGGCCTTGACAGTGGAATTAGTTGACCCACTGGTCACTGTCGCTTGCAATAAAATATTCGATCCATCCGATCAATTTCAACTGCAGAAGCTTGAAGAATTCTTCGAAATTAGTCTCGTGTTGTCCCCAAATCCCAAGTCAAAATTTTTAAAAATTCTGAATAAATATTAGCAGCTGCTTGCAATCACACTGCATTATCAAATGGCCCGAACACGAAAATAATTTTCCACTTAAAAAACCGTAGGCAGGTACGTGTTTTAAGATTTCATGTTTTCACGTCAACTCCACTCGGTCTGGATGATTGATTAACTTATAATTTTTAAAGGCTTTTGTGGAAAAATTCATCGTTTCTTGTGGAATTAATAGAATCGATCGGGGAAGCCGTCCAATTATCGACAAATTAAAAATAAATATCTGCAGCGTTTTATGGTTAGTATTCCAAACATAGGCCTTTTATGAATGGGCCCCCCTAAGGCCTGGCCTGCACACAAACGCTCATATTTCAATCTCCATGAAATGGATTTTAAACGAGATGCCTTGTTAGCCTCTAGGTGAGAAATTTGTTGTCCTTTGGACTCCCCGAGGAGCCCCAGCGCTCCAGGTAGCGCATTCACGAACGCACATCCTCCGCTTTTTCTTCAGGACAAACAGGTGATTCGTCGACGACTTCGTTTTGTAAACATGCATCCGGGACACCCAGCACGAGATTAATACAGCTGGGACACAACACTCTCCTTTCAGTTTACAATGTCATATAATCATAACTCCTGATTTTAATATGCATGACATTTTTTCTGTAATGGTTTTGATTAATACTAAACTGACAGCGTTTTTATTTTTTGTCATCGCGAGGGACCCCTTCTTAGAAGTAAACGATGTAAAAAATTCATTTCTTTTAACTCTGACGAATTTGGAAATGTCTATCAGCGGAAAAATTTCATTACCGATTTATGACTTCAACGGAAAGCTGTTTCATAACTTTATAACTGCCGGTTTTAAAGCGTGAAATGTCGCCAGAATCGGCATGGCATAGATGAGGACCACCCTTTATAATATACGATTAATTTAACGACTGACGAACTGTCGAGAGATTTTTACAACTTCCAAATTCGCTGTATTAAAGAATCATTTTCAAGTTTTTAATTAATTAATTTTTATGTGAAAACGTGTTTTCAGATAGCGTCTATTAGGAACAAATAATTAAACTAGCGTAATAAATAATTTGAGTTGGTAATGGGTATGCTAAAAGCGCATTAACATATTTTGTTGTTTACAGACTTAATTACTTTTTGCTAAGTTCACAATGATGAACAGTTTTATATGTTAAAATTAATTGGTATTTATTTGTGCACGAAGATAAGGAGATTTATTTATTGCACATCAAAATCTAACACGGAAGAAGCTCTTACATCATATTTTTATCTTGCATTTATTAATTTAATAACAATTATGTCATTTGTTTTATTATCAGTGTGAAAGCGTTGCAGTGTACATACTTGTTTACACTTGCCTGAATCTGAAAATTATAACGATATTTTATTTTTGAGAAATTTTACATTTGAAATTGCGATGTTTAAATGTAAATCCACATGCTTTCATAAAATTTAAATCTACGCATGAGATTATTACAATAAAATTTTATAGTTAAACATAATAATAAAATAAGATGGGTCAGTGTTATTTATTTTAGTGGTTAGGATAGAACTACATTTATTCTGGCCTAAAATTATTATTGTGTTGGCAAAGACAATACAATGTAGTGGTAAACATAAATTATATTTATCTATTGAATAACTTGATAAAAAAACAAAGCAAACCAAAAAGTTTAAATTTCTTATTAAAGAAATACCTTCGTATGTAAATTATTTTTATCAAACATGAAACATCTAAAATAAGTTATAATAATCTACTTGAACTATTAAGTTGTTATAATAAATAATAATAATGTAAGTTTTAAAAATCCAACATATGACCAAGTCACGGAAAATACTATATAGCGAGTTCAATTTTTAATCGCTTAAAAAGGATTAAATGTAAAAATGTGGATGAGGTGCATGTTTGAAGGAAAAATTAAACTTCTATTTAACATGGAAACATAAAAAATAATTAGGTTACATTGAAATCAAAATCTAGTTGATTTTATTCCTATTTTAGTGGTTATATTTTTTATTGGAGAATTTTATAATGTTCGAGCCTAGAATTTACAAAACAGCTGTTTTGTACATAAAAATGTCATTTCATGAAGCTGTCAGGTTGTAAAATAAGCGTTATTAACACCTGAATCACCCATGCCTCAAGCTTAAAATTATTAATTTTTATAGCACGACTAGAAGTATTAGAATTATAAAAGTAAAAAATTGAAAATGAACATTTCTTACAGAATTTAAAAGTAGTATTCACTGGCATCGCTATTAATTTGATGCCTAGGGGATATATTATACATAAATGTTTCCGGACTTGAGTAATATGATAGCGATCCAGCAACCCACAGTGAATAAAAGGCGCTTTGTTTTTTAAAGGAATGTTGAGAAGGCAGTTAAAACATGATTATTTTAAAGTAAAATTGAAAGGTACTACTGGTACTAGATACAAAAATAAATTTAGTAAAAATATTGCATTATAACATTACATTTATCAAAAAAGTATAAAACGAAAAATCTCACAGAAAAAATTGGTTATTGTCAACATTGTCTTAGAAGTTTCAGCGAAAATATTGTGGAGAAAGAGTTAAAATAATATTTTTTCTATTTCGGTGTTAGAATAAGTCGATAGCATTAATTTAATTTTAGTGACGGACTTTCTTCATAATTCATTTCCAAATGTGAAAATAAGAATTATTTTTATTTTTTACAGCCGCCTAAAATTATTCTACATAAATGTCGCCAACCGTCACAAAATTCTCTAGAAAAAAAAATAATTAAAATCTTCGTTTTTTAATTTATTTTATATTAAATGATATAAAGCGGCAAAATAGAAAAAATAGTATATAGCACTTGTTGCAGAAGGTTCTTCAAGCACTCATTTGTACCTCAACTCGCCGCTACGCCGCTCGTTTCGGAATTTTAAATTTGTGCTTTTGCAATTTGTACATTAATATACTATTTTAATATAGTAACTTAATTTGACTGAAAACGTCCTGTTAAGGGCCATAATGACCGCGGAAAGATATAGGCCTTCTTTCGTCGAGCCACAAACAACTCCCTCGGTCGTTATGACCTTCTTAACAGCTCTGAATACGTAAATAACTTTGGAGAGATCAAGATAATTTGTAATCGAGTCATCCTTGGATCTGAAAACGTACCTATGTCTGCGAAATGTCAAATAAAATGACAAGTAGAGAGGTAAATTGGCATGATCAAAAAGATGATAATTTTAACAAATAAAATAATTTACCTTCAAAAAAACGGTCCTATTATTATACTTCGGCGACTAATTCCAGCCCATTTTACCGTTTTACCTTTCGTCTTGTCATTTTATTTCACGTTTTATGTGCAGTTAGTTCAAAAACAGACGTACGTTTTTGGATCCAAAGATGACTCGATTACAAATTATTTTGATCTCTCGATAGGTATAGGCTACAGCAAAAACACTTAGTTAAAGCTTTAAGCTTTATATTTTTAGAAAACAATATTTCTAAGGGTTTTTATGGCACTTTCAGTGACATTTAAATTAGACAATAAAAAACGGAGTTTTTTAGTGTTTTTTTTTGCTGAACTTATGCATAATACGTATACCATTTTAGGTTTTAAAAGATTATTTTGCAAACTAAATTATGCAAGTTACTGCAAATTATATCATACATTATGCATAATTACCAACATCATTATGTGAAAAGCGAATAGGTATTAAGATCATTTATAATTTTTCTTCTTTAAAAGAACTAATCGGTATCCCTTTTTTATGACGTCTTGCTAATGCAAGTACGATAGTTTCAATATTATTCTTACAAATGCTCCATTTTTTTAAAACTGATGATAATTATTGCAAGAGAGAAAAAAGCTGACTTTTGCACGACAGTAATAATGAAAACGAGACTATAAAATTGTTCTCTCCCGGGGTTTAGATATCATTTTTTCACTACTAGCACATTTGTTTAACCTTTATTTAATGATAACGTAAAATAAAAATTGGAACGAACAATCTTCATGAAAATCAATTTTACTGAATGTTATGTACTGATGTCTAACGTAAATTGTGTTTTTTAATGAGGTTGTTACAATGTTGTATTTTGATTTTTGTTGTAAATTTTTCAACTAAAACTTCGACTCATTTTTTGTACCTACTTAAAGTATAGACTTTATTTTGTAATTACATTTGTTTTTATGTTAGTATTTCGTAAAGTAGTGGATAATTTTGTTAAAAATTTTAGTCATGAACAACTTTTCAATTTGAAAAAGAGTATATCTGCGTGTGGTTCCGCAGCTCTTCTGGTTGACTAATACCCCAATCGAGGGGCTTCACCGTTTGATGCTTTCGTTTAGAGAAATGCAATAGACACCCAGTTGGAGTTGCGCTTGCGTTCAGCAGAGCGTAACCTCAACGAGGTCCCCTCGTAACCTGAGTTGCTAAGCAACACACTCCTAACTCTTGCTGGAATAATGATTGGTGGCGCGAAACCTTACAATGGCTGCCGGGTCTAGAGGCGATAAAGACGCTCTTTAGCTCACCTGAGCCTTCATCAGCCTTGAGTTATGACCGACGTCTCTTATCTGTTGCAGATTGTCCTGAACTCTATGCATCGGTATCAACCTCGGATCCACATCGTCAAGTGGCGGGAGCACTCGGGCCCGATTACGGACCTGGAACAGGAGCAGTACAGGACATTTATTTTCCCCGAATCGGTTTTCACGGCAGTTACGGCCTATCAAAATCAACTCATCACGAAATTGAAAATCGATTCGAATCCATTCGCGAAAGGGTTCAGGGATTCGTCCAGACTCACGGATTTTGACAGGTAATAAGCTTTGTGATGGCTCCGAAACAGTATCGATTTCGTGTGTACTCTCGGCCTCTCCACTACCTTTAATTAAATTGGGCCGAGAACGGCCTGGAGTGCTCATAAAACAACGTTTTTTGGGGTGATAGGTCTGAAACTAATTATCTTATTATTATTAGTGGCGGGTTTTATTGCCTATAAAGTAGCACAGTAGCTGATGACTTTCGGGGAGTCGCTGGGGCGTATACATCATGAGCTTTAAGATTATCAGGGAAGTGGACATTAAGAGGGAACATCGTCTCGGTAACGATTCAGAAAACCTCCTCTCAATTTACAGATTACCCGTGGCTATAAAAATATTTCAGCAACGACGACAATTTGTCAAAAAGTTTTAATGTTATGACACTAAACCAAAAATTTTTAATTAATACTCGTTAGAAACTGTGTGCAAAAGATTTTTTAGAATAATTATGATGGTGAGAAAAATTATCTATGGAACGTGTTGGCGATTTCAAGTGTATTATTTCGTCGCTCTATCTGATGTGTGTAAATGCGATTTTTAATTTGGTCACACATGTGAATTACGATGAAGCAATCTCTGCTGAAACTATAAATCATTGACTTCAAATTGTGATGCAGATAGTTATTAAAGCTTTATACGAAAATCATTAATGAAGATAATTGCTTTTTATTGAAGCATAGGTTCTTCTAAGTACTTAAAACAATGCTTTTTGGTTGTTTTATTTATTCTGTACGAACAGAAGGTAAGTGTAGTGAAAATACTACAATTTTTTCCACACAATTTATCCTCAAGGATGGATGAAGTTAGTTTTTACTTTATTCACTAGTGGATAGAGAAAAACTGCTTATTATTAGGCTCTTTTGCAGCCACTTTGCATTTTTATTATATTTACACAGGGTGAATATAAAGTATGGAACCAAGCGGTTTTTTTTGCCTCCAGAAAATAATAATTAATATAAATTCAAGCAATATAAAAAATGTGATCGTATTTTAAGAACAAAATTGTGTTTTGGTTTTGAGTTATGCGATTTTTTTTGATAAAATTGCAATTTATGTAAAAAAAAATTTTTGAAAAAATTAAATGTAAAGTCGATAGTTGTAATCCTTACATCATAATCTTTATGAGAAAAATGTTTTATAGTAAGTTGCCATTTGAACAAATATTTTTTTTTGTAGAACTCAAAAACAAAAGAAAATTTCGAACATTTTTATTTATTATAAAACGTCACATTTTTATAGTATCTACTTTATTATTCAAATAAATAGTTTTAGCAAAAAACGTTTGCTTTCATTCTTTTTATTTACTTGATGTGTACTTATTACATTTTTGTGCCTGGAAATACCTATCCTCACTCTTTTGTGATATTACTTTTTTTTTTAATATTTTTCTAAAATTTTTACATTAATTGTTGTGCAACTTCTTGAACATCAATTGTCAATTATATCGAGAGATCAAGATAATTTGTAATCGAGTCATCTGTGGATCCGAAAACGTATGTCTGTTTGAACTAACTGCAGGTGAAATGTTAAATAAAATGACAAGTCGAAAGGTAAAACGGCAAAATGGGCTGGAATTAGTCGCCGACGTATAATAGAACCGTTTTTTTTTTGAAAGTGAATCATAAATTTGGTTATATAAATCATCATCATTTTGATCATGCCGTCTTACTTTTCGACTTGTCATTTTATTTGACGTCTACAGACATACGTTTTTGGATCCAAGAATGACTCGATTACAAATTATCTTGATCTCTGGATACGTAGTTTATAAAAATTGTGTTCAGTTATTAAAAATTTTAAATTAGGTATTGAAAAAGTATTGTATGCTGTTCATGAGTACAAAGAAAATGTATTTGAAAATTAACTAGTGGCATTTAACTTCGCGTCAGCAAGTGTATTATATATAATAATTATTATTTATGACGTTGTGAAATAACGAACGAACACCTATATTTTGTGTAATCACTAATCAGCAAATATGACCGTTGTTTTTAAAGGTAGTAAAATGTAGCAAAAGAGTTTTATCAGTTTAAAATTACTATGCATTTAAAGTTCGGTGGATTATTTTTTCAAAATACGTAAATACCTACTTGTTGGATTTTAAGTTGTTATTAGACTATTTACTTTCCTTTTTTTTAATATTAACCAATAAAATAGCAGATATTTACTTTCGTAAGCAACGCAAATTCAAGCGAATATTCTACTCGTAGTAAAATACAGGGCGATTCGGATAAGATAATGAGCCTGACGATCTGGCGATGCAACCCAAAAAACAAATTTCATTTACGTTTTGATCTAATTTTTATTACGATTTGCATTTGCAATCCAAGTTATCTTATGTTGCTCTGATAGTGCTTTGACAAGCAATTTATGTTTTATAAAAAAACTGTTTGCCTACCTTGAATGTTTAATTCTTTCATACATTTTGTATTGGGTTTACACCGAAAAGACTTCTCTGACTTCTCTATCATTCCGCGAGAACTGAATGGCACTAATAATCATTCTCTGCACTGATGTCAAACTGACATGAGATCATAACTTGGATTCAACTTGCAAATTCTAATTTACATTGGATCAAAGGCGTAAATGAAATTTGTTTTTTTGGGTTGCATCGCCAGATCGTCAGGCTCATTATCTTATCTGAATCGCCCTGTATAAGTGAATATTCCACTAGAGGTCGCAGTGAACTTGATTATTTACCCGGTTGCTATGAAAATGAAATTAAAATTTGCCATTTGGTTCATTGAGTAGGCTGTTGAACATAATTCGTAGTCAAAGATTGTCGAAGATTTTTATTCATAGTTATTACTCTTGCGAACACATGGTATGGTGTTCATAAAGCGATGACCATTCATAAAAATATTCGACAATTTTTGACTAGGTACCCGCATTATAAGTATTTCAAATTGTCGACAAAATTTGACAAAATTGGCATCTCGGTTTATGTCTCTGATTTTTAAAAACTCAAATATGTATGTAGTTTTTTCAGTGGAATAACCACTTTTGTGATGGTTAAAGTTACAGGTTTGTTAATTTCCCATCTCAAGTCCTCATGTTATTTGAGCAGTCGATGATGTAGCGGGTTCAGCGGCAGTATAAAGCCATTAATATTGTCGATATTCGCAATATAGTGTTCGGTCTTTTGCGGTTACGGCAGACGAGAGGTTCGTCCTAATTAAAGGAGTCGGTTTGATTTGGAGGCGAGCACGCACACGAATGGTGAAAGTGATAAGTAATAATTCATATGGCTTCAGGCGCATAAAAAACAGCCTCATTTCTGTTGTGATAGAATTTAATTTACGTGTTTCAATCTTGCGCTGCCGCTAGGGGGCGTGTTCATATGTACCGCCCTGTAATTTCAGACAATCGTTGTCTTCACGACGACGGCTTGATGATATAATGAAGGCGAGATATTTTCTCACACCTCAGGTAGACTCCGGTGTTTTCCCAGTTATTTTCTCGTTTCGGGCTTTTGCTTGTCTTTAATTAGGACGCGGTATACAACATCTAGCGACCCCTGGTGGCCGGAGGCGGGGCCCCGGAGCCTCTCATTATCGCTTCACCGCGCGATCGCTCCGTCTCAATATTATTGATTGTTTTCGCGGCCGCGCTCCGCCCGCACACTCTCCACCACTGATGGTTCGTTGCCTCCGGATTTTTTTACCGACTCCGGACCTCAATCTTCCGGTAACGCGCGAGAGATCCCTCTTCATTGCTCGCAAATTTGCACATCAAAACTCAAATAAACCTCGTCTAGTACAAAAATTCAATTATTTACAAGTATCTACTTATCCACCGAGTGACTGCAAATCATTATGATTTTCATCTCTAAGTTGGCGTCTAATTTAAAGTCTTAAGTTTAACAACCTTGACTCTCAAATTCAAGCGTCAAACTTTTATAAGCAATTGACATACAAATATCTTCATATATTTAACAAATTAGAAAGGTTACCAATTATTCAGTGATGCTAATAGATTTTTTGTCACAAACATTAATGTTCACCCGATAGGTGGTAGTAATCACATTTTTCACATGATGTCTTATAATCTAAAAACTATCCACGGTGATTCAAAAAAAGTTGAACAATTTTTTTATATCGTGACAGAATCTCAAATATGTAGCCTGTAGCAAAAAAATTGGAAAATTATTTTTCGAACAGAAATAAATAATCAAAGTGCAAAATTTAAACTCTCATAACTTTTTATAGATAGAATTTTTTAAACATTTTTTCCATGTTTCTAGTGTCTTATCTTACATGGATGGCATTTTTCTCAGGGGTCCGAGTTCTGGCGCACCCTGTATTGGCCCGCTGTAGTACATTTTGAACCAGCTTGTGTCTGCACTAATTTAAAGAAACGTTAGTTATTATATACTATAAACAAAAACACGTCACACCAAACTGAGGATGACCACTTTGTGGTTGAAACGCGTCGTGTTTAAAATAAAAGTTTGGTGTGACGGGTTAAATCGTGTTTTTGTTTATCATTTTCATACCAAAAGGATCCATTAAGAAGTAGTTACTACAGAAACCAACAAATTTTTGATGTGCTGTTGCCAACTTTACCTCTTGGGAGAAACTCTACAGAGTTTTACTTATTTTTAAAAATTCCAGATGCATTCTTTTTTCTTTTATTAGTGAAAGACGTTAAAACTAACGTCTTTTACTGATAAAACACAAAATTCCTTTCCCTAATAAATAAAAAATTAATATTTAAGTTGCACTTTTGAAGAGTTCTACCTAAGGAAATTTGTTACGATATTTTTTTTCAATTTTGAGAGTAATTACATGGTTCTTAATACCATCACCCGAGTGATTATACTGTTCTTTTGAATCGCGCTGTAGTTTATTTTTGACACTGCATAAAATTTGATTTTATTTTATTGCTCTTAAGTGCGCATTTCATCGGTGTTTTAATCTTTTTATACTTTTGTACAGCTGTATGATAATTAATTCACGTTGAGTGCTTTAAAACTTACTCTTCTTGGAAATCATGAAAGATAAGATTATGTATTTTTTGGTTGATGAGTGATAATTACTTACTTAATTCAGTTAGACTTTTTGTCTTACAACGAACCGGAAATGAGGCGGTCTTTTTTGTCTCTCATCTATTTTGCTTTAGGCCGACAATTTTTTTTTTTTAGTTTTTGTTTTTTTCATTTTTTTAAACATCATTGGTTTTAATTTTTATATTTCCTTAACAATTATTTTTCGATTAAAAGTCGAAACTGCTTACCTAATGAATTTACTTATAAAAAATTTGATCTTATTTTATCGTATTTTTACAGTGTTTTTCTTTTGGTTTTCCTTTTTTGTCAAATGTATTTCACTATCTCTCAAAATTATTTCCCACCTATGTCACATACATTTGAGAAAAAAGGAAAACCAAAAGAAAAACACTAATATTTTTTTTTGGATAAGCCAAAAGAGTTTTGCTTTATTATGTATTGAAACTAAAATATTTTTTTGGATATAAATATTTAACAATTTTTCTCTTTTTTTTCAGAGAACCAATGGATAGCCTCTTCATGGACCAGCACTTCCTCCGCTCATCCCTCCGTCTTTACTCCAGCGACTCCCTCGACGCCGAAAACAACAACGCCGGCTCCCTCTTTTCGGCCGCGATGATGGAGAAGGCTCGCGCACACATCCAGATGTGGGGCCGAGCCTCCGGCGGCGCTCCTTACAACCCCAGTGAATTGCACGCGTTCCTTCTCAACAGTTCCCCAAGTCAACAAATCTACCTGGGTCAACGACCCTCTGTTCCTCTGGGCTTGACGAGCCAACTGTGGAGTCAGGGCGGCTCGTCTTGGCAGTCCCCCATCCATGGTGGTTTGCCCCCGGGTCTGTTGGGTCCGCCGCCCCCTCACCGGCCTCAAATGACCCCGCCGCCCTCTTCCACTCCCAGTTCCTCGGGATCGCCTAGTCCCACTTCCGTCAGTACTTCCGATCTGCGATTACCCAAAGCTGTGTTCCCCTCTTCGATGCACCGTTTCAGCCCCTATGCGTCGCCGCTGCCTCGACAGGCCTCCTCACTGAGTCCCACTTCGCGGTCCGGACACTGATGAAGAGTCGCTCCGAGCCGAAACTATACCAAAGAGTCTTTCCGGAAGACGATAATTGTGAGATTATATCCTTGTAAATAAACTGTCGTTGAAATTATTTATTTGTGTAAAATAGGGAGTCCTGGTAGAGTCACTGATTTTTTTTATTACTTACTTGTAAAGTGTATGTGTAATTATATTTTGTACAACAGATAGCAGTATTAATGTACATAATCATCAGTGTAGTACTTAAGTTCTCTTAATTGTGAGAACTGAAACGTTCCTTTTGTTGTTGGTTCTACGGCACGTTCGAACATTTTGTTTTTTTTTACACTACCGGCATTCCATCATATCAGATAAAGTCAGTGTTTCAGTTTTAAATTGTTTTAACTGTTGCTATAGAACCAAATTTTTATAAGAAATAGTTTACGTACCGTAAATTGTATATTTTATGAAAAATATTCTTCACTGTCAATTATTTACCTAGTTTTTCATTGTATTACACTATGTTAAAAAGGAATTTGTTGTTGTGTATATATAATATGTGGATTGTAAATTAAATAAACAATTATTGAACATCAATTTTGTTTACTTACTCGACTCCCGATCATTTTTCCTTTTACGATGAGAATCAGTAAGCTCAACAAGAAACAGAGAATAGTATATTACATGCGAATTGGTAAAAATGTCATTTCCACGAAGTCTCCGGAAATTGAAGCAAGGGCGAAGTCCTAAGAGTCTGAGCAGTAATGACATTACTATCGAGGTGTATATGCTATTTTATTCACCGTCACATTGGACCTAAACAATCTGTTACTTGATCAAAGATGATGCTTTGATACTTTTATGTAGTTGGTATGCAAATAAATTAAGTTTTTGACATTTAGTGGGTTTGTGACCTTGGTAATTTCTCTTGAATTATTTCCCGACTAAGGGATGTAATGACATATTTCCCGATCTTCAAAAGATTAGGAGCCAGCATATTGCTATAGTGATTGTGAATAAAAAATGTTGCAACAAATAAGTTTGTAAACAAAAAGAAATCTAGAAATAAATACTCAAATTTCAAAATTTAATTTAACGAATTAATATTTTTTTGCTTAAACTACCTGTATAAAAATTACAATTAGAATTATTTAATTAGGGGTACATGTAATTTATAGTTGTAAACAAATAAAATACAATAGAAATGAATAAATAATGTAGCAAAAAGTGATCAAATGGGCAAAAGTTACCGTACTCAAGAAATTATCGGTTGTTTTTTATCTAATTTTTTCAAAGAACAATGTTTTAAAAAATCAATTAACGTTAAAATACAAACATAAAGTTTATAGAATTTTTGAGTTTTAAAAATTATCAGTTTTCTGAATTAAGATACATTAACATACTGCGATTAAAGTATGTAGGTAATATCTCGACACTCTTTTATCAAAAAAAAATACATGGCATATTTGTTTGGGGCCCGAGTTCTGAGTTAGGTTTTAATCAAAAAGAGAATTTTGATAATGACTAAATTTTACTTTGGTCAATTTTAATAAAGAAAGTACAACATCGCTCCAAATCGATTAGAACATAATTTAAAATTGGAGGTTCTGAACATTGGGTCTGGATAGGTTTTATTGTTACTAATTTAAACAATTCTGATGTTTAGAGAATTTGTAACATGTTTTAATCAGATGTTTTAATAAATGTCTACTAACTTATGCATCGTTAAATTATTAATACAAACAACTTTTTATAAGTAGGTAATGTTGAAATAAAGTGCCTACCCAAACTCCAGCTCGAAATATGTTTAATATGTTGAGTGGTAGAACAACACGTTCCTTCATGAATATTTATATGAAAATTCGGCTTTTTTATCACACAAGATGTCAGTAGTTGTAATCACCTAAAGCTTCAGATTAATTCAATAATAAGTTAGAAAAAACCGAGAGCTGAGTGGGCAGATGTTGAATAAAATCTCGTTACAAAAGCATATTAGAGTTGGTAAAAAACTCTATTCAAATTAGTTGCCCTGGTCATTATTTATTTGGAAGATAAGAAAATGGGAGAAAAATGTGTTTTTTATGGTATTGGGTTCGATTGTGAGCACGCGATTGCGGCACCAATCAAAGCTTGAGCTTTCGGTTGGGTAATTTAATTTGGACCGTCCTCATTCAATATGGATCAAAAAAGGTTTGTTTGGTCTGATACGTAATCTAATGGCATCGGGTAATTTGTGTCAAATTGAAGAAAGCTCTTACGGTTATAACTTTATTAAAAATTAAATAAATAAATCGTTGCGAGTCATGAAACATAAAAGGCTTTCGAGCTAATACCTCGACTTATAAGTTATGAACGGAATGAATGAATATAAAATAGCAATGAAGATGCTCTCGGAGTCTACCTCCATCGGCTTAATCCGGACCCATGCGTAATATTGACAGCACTCGGGTGAAATTAGTCACACAACTCATCTTGACGTCTTGTCAAATAAAATTTACAACGCCAATTCTACTAAAACCATTTTCGAAATTCTTTCAAATCTTCCAGGTGGAGGAACCGTGAAGGGTTCATTTAACAAGGGGTGTAAATATTTACCGCACTGAGGTTTCGCCATTCTTACTTTAAATGGATTGTGACTTACAATGTGGTTTTGTGGTAGTTTTGGTTTATTTCCATTGTAAATCTTCCGTTTTGTCACATTTTTTCTTGGTATTTTCACTCTTTTCTAAATTAGGTTAATTACGTTCCAGCGTCAAATTATTCTCAGTTGCAACGTTTAATAATTAGACACGGTTTTGATAAACAAAAAACGTAATATAGGTGATTAAGTTTTGAAAGTTTACACTAAATTGATATTAATTAGGTGTTTCATATAGGATTTATCATCAAATTCATGTACCTACTGAATAATTTAAGAAGGTGTGTCGCTAATTTTGGGCCATAAATTTGAAACTTTTAATTTATTGGGCACATTAACATTAATTAAAGGCTTTCTATACCTGAAAGGTTGCAACATTTTGACTTTTCGACAATGGTCAATGAAATATCAACACGATTAACTTAATTAATATGTTGCTTAAAGATTTATTGCGGCAAATTCCAGTTTGAATATTCAATTTAAGTGTCACGTTGTTTCTCACAAAAATATCTCGATCTTGGTCAGTTTTACAATTAAATTTCTGGTCAAAATAGTTTGAAATAATGTTGACTTTGTTGAGTCTTACATTTAGTTTAAGGCATTTTTGAATAAACATATTTGATTTCTTTTGCTTAAAGTTCATAAAAAAAACAAAACTTCTGATTGTGATACAGTCGAATCCATAAGCTTATTGTGTGAAAATACCATATAAAAAATAATAAGTTGTTGCTCATTAGGTCACTTTATGTAGAAACACACAGGATTTTTAGTTTTTATTGTTACAAATTTAAATAGACGATAGAATATTCAATTTTAAGACAAAAGTCCTATAAACATGCTTCAAAAAATGCTATGTAAGGGAGCTACACCTCCTAAAAATGGTGCGTTTTTTAATGAGTTTTTTGCAATATTTCAGAAAAGATAAAATTACAAAATTTGGTACAGCTGATAACCTTTATACACCTAAACTAATTCCAAGATGAAATGTCGAAATTTATAAACGGTAAAACGAATAAATTTAATTTTTAATTTTTATGCTGTTTCTGGTCTGTAACATAAATTTTAAAACTGATTTTACTCAAAATCGGTTTGTTGTATCGGAAAAACGCAAAAAAACTTTTCATAAAAAAGTATGAAATTTAGAATTTTGTTGCTGAAAGTGGCAAGAAACTACAGCCAAAGCAGTTAGAGTACTTTTTACCTTAAAGCCACCCAGTTTAGGAACCTCCGATTAAATATTTCAACATTTTATCTATGAATTCGTTTAGGTGTATAAATTTTGTCATTTTACCTAAAATGGTTTCGGAAATATTGGATAAAACCCATTAAAAGACGCACCTCTTTGAAGGGGTGTAACTCCCGTGCGTAGCATTTTTCGATACACGTTCATAAGAAACTTTTGTCCTAAAATTGAATATTCTATCTACTATTTAAATTTGTAACAATAAAAATAGAACACCCTGTGTTTTTGTTTGACAATAATTATTTTTTTAAATAGTACTTTCTTATCTAAAAGTTTTAAAGTGTATAGAGGTACAAAAATAAATTTTAAAATATGTTTCCATTTTAGGTTAATGAATAACGCTATATCAAGAAAAAAAAATCGAATTTTTGTTTTGTTTTTAAGTTCTACAATTTTTTTAATTTTTTTAAATGGCAACTCACTATAAGAATAAAAGTTATGATTTAAGGATTACAACTATCTACTTTATATTTAATTAAAAAAAAAAAATTAGTCTAATTGCAATTTTGACAAAAATATCGTATAACTCAAAAACAACATAAAATTTCGTTTTCAAAATACAATCACATTTTTTTATATTACTTTAATTTATATTAACTATTGTTTTCTGGAGGCAAATGATAAAAAAAACCTGTTGGTTCCATACTATATATTCTCCCTGTATGTATTATTTGCTTCTAGTTTTGCACATTTTCTTAATTATGAACACGGAATAAAAAAAATCGAATTAAAATCTATTTAATTTAAGTAGGTATAAGCAAGCGTTTTTTGTTACCTTTTTACCCTGTTTATACTTACTCACTCACTACTTCCTAATCCTATTATTAAAACATCAGACACTAATAAAACTTTAATTAACTCTGTATATTGGTATTTGGGTTTTTGTAAATTTCCTATAGCTGATAATCTCCATATTCCTGTTGCAAACTAATTACGAACTTGTATAAAGATCAGGGTGCGATTATAACAGATTGCTGTAGATGTCGGCGTTCAAGATGGATGTCGGCATCAGCATTATTATATAAGGTCCAGCGGCTGTTGGGTCGGTGAATTATCTGTTAAACTGCTTCACTAATTGATTCCGAGTTGCGCCGCCGCCGGTGTTCATTACGAATTAGCTAAGCACGGCTCAACACCGCTCACCGATCTCATAAATAATATCAGCCAGGGTCGGACTTGGCACCTGTACTGTCTTCTTCGACACCTATCTTTCCAAATCTCACCAATTTCTACATTGCTCATTAACTTCAACAATTTTGGGTCGGTTATACAGGCTGTTCGGTCCAAGTCGCCCCTAAACTTACTTTTTTTCAAATACAAAATTTTTAAATAATACTATTCATTCCTCACTTTCTTAGTAAATGCATCAAATTTTTTTGGCACATCCGGTGCAGCCGAAAAAGCTACCGAATTTAGTTTTTCAAATGGAACACCTATGTTTTTTGCTCGAAACAATAATAATTCACATGAAAAATACGGTAAAGCATTATTTATTACATTTTACTTTACATAATGTACTCAGAAAACAATTTAATTTTTTGAATTTTATTGCAAATTTTGCAACGTATGCGGATTTTATTTCTCAAGGTATTCATGAAAAAAGCAATATGCTTGGATACCGTTTAATTGTTAGTTTGACAAAGCCTAATTTGTCAATAAATCTTATTGAGATCTTTAATAATGGATGATATTAATTACGACGAA